TGAACCCCAGATGGTTGGAACATGGATTTAGGAGGATTACTGCTAGGATCCTTCTTACTGTACCTTAAAGGCATGAGGATAGCAGTGTTTTGAGTAAACTGAAAGTTTAACCTTTTTTTCGTGGCTTGTTGGGGAAGTGAGATAATTACCAATGCTATTTGGGGGTTCCTTATTATAGTTATAGGACAATATACCCAACACCTTATTCTAATGTCCCCTGGCTTATTGGGAAAGTAAAGTAAAAGCCTACACCTTCTGGGTTCGTCTAATTTAGTAGTACTCTGAAAGTTGAACCTTTTATGTCCCCTGGCTTATTGGGGAAGTAAGGCATCCAGTATCTTCTGCGGAGAGGAAACCTGACGCAGGCAACGCAGGAGGCAATTGCCATCTACTCGCACGATCTGGCAGCGAGCTATCTTGGAAATGCTAGCCGATTCTCTTCAAACCTGCGGAAGGTGCATTATTCTCATACCTTTTCAGTTGGGAACTTTCAGACGAACACAGCTGCGCAAGATCATCAGATTTGGCACCCAAACATACCACGGAACAGCTCCGTACTGTCCGTCTACGTGGGGCATGATGCCAGTATTTAGATCCTCCAGCAGTATCATTTTGTTTTGTTGTCTTCGGGCTCCTTTTGAAGTGAATTTTGAATACTAGGAAGAAGAGAACCCTTCTCTTTGATGGCCGCATCGGAGAACAAAACCCTAAACCCCTGAACTCCAAACCCCTAAACCACCCAGGTATAGCCTTAAGCCACTCCGGTCGGATTCAGTGCGTGCTGGAGCTGGAGCGCCTCTATAAGATTCGCTACTTCGGCCCGCTGGAAAAGGACTACCACAACTTGGGCTTCCGAAGTTGCATCCTGGCCCCTTTTTGGTTTAGGGTTTAGGGTTTAGGGTTTAGGGTTTGGTTTGTGCTATTCTTCGGGAGTGTGGGTTGTATAGATCTCCTGCCTCTTGTTTGAAGTGGATGGCGGTTCGGTGGTGCTTAGTCTGCTGTCTACTACCAAGCACTCAAGTTTGGGGGGTGGCAGTCTTAGAAGTTCACACTTTTGGTTTTATTCCGAAAAATCTTGTTAGGTTTTGGGAGGAGGTCTGAATTTCAATATGACCCCCTCGCTGCCAGGACTCGAACTGTTCGGTTACCTCAGGGCTCTTAATATAGGGTCCGAAAAGCTAGCTAAGGGAACGGTTTAGGGTTTAGAGTTCCAAGTGCCATGACGGGAAGTAAGGTATGCAATTCGCTCTGAGACGCTTTAGCGAGCACTGTCAGGCTGGCGAGGAACAAGCCAGGCCAGTGCAGACACGAGGTACCAATTGAGCATAAAGTTCTCTAATCTTTTTCCTTAGTAGAGAAGCCGGATCATGTATCGAGGTTCCAATGTGAGATCTCTCTCACGCAAAAACCCCTTGGAACCCTGACTTATGCGGACAAGACTTGAGGCCCAAACCCTACTAAAATCGGAGTCGGAGTAATTAATTAGTAATAGAACCCCATATAGTCCCCAATACCAGTTATATTATGTTAAACCTCAAAACCTATTGTTATTGCGAAGGCCCCCCTATGCTGCAGATCCTTTTCCTAAGGGTTGGGGGGAAGAGTGCGAGGAACCTAACCCTAAACCCTAAAACCCTAAACCCTAAAACCCTAAACCCTAAAACCCCAAATCCTAAACCCTGAAACCCTGAAACCCTAAACCCTAAGCCCCTATAACCCTAGAACCCTAAACCCCAAAACCCCAACACCCAAAGACAAGACCGAGGATAGATTTCGGCGTTCTCATCTTGGGAGCCAACCCAAACAGAGCAAGGAGAACCTTTCTTAGGGGTTTAGGGTTTAGGGCCGAGGATTTAGGGTTTAGGGTTTAGGTGTTTAGGGGTTTAGGGTTTAGGGTTTAGGTGTTTAGGGTTTAGGGTTTAGGGGTTTAGGGGTTTAGGGTTCTGGGTTTAGGGATTAGGATCAGGGGCTGAGTAGGTAACCTTGGGACCTTTTGGGGCTTATACAATCCTAC